TGACTAAAGCTAGGGAAGGTTATCCACTTTTAAACACTCATGTGATTAGGTGACATATCCACAAGTTCCCAGGACTAGAGCTTCAGCATTGCTAGAGAGCTAATATTCTTTCTGTCACAGGTGCCTATCCTGTATCAGGTTTTGATTCAGGCAATATGAGATAGACAGGTGGAGAAGGACAATAGCAAGTAAACAAATGCATATGCAAGACATTTTCTGACAAAAGTTCAAAAATTCACTTTTCCCCAAGCTTGCCATTTATACATTCATTAATTCAACATTTTCTAGTACCTCCTATGTAAAAGGAGTTCTGTGCATTTCAGATGGGCTTCCCTGGTGACTCAGTGGTAAAAGAATCTACCTGCCAATGCAGGAAACGGATTCGATCCCTGGGTTGGAAAGAGCCCATGGAGAAGGAAATGGCAACCCACTCCAATATTCATGCCTGGGAAATCTCATAAACAGATGAGTCCAGTGGGCTGTAGTCCATGGGATCACAAAAGAGTTGGACTTGACTTAGTGACTAAACCACAACAACAGCAATGAATTTCAGGTAGAATAGTGAATGGACAAAGTTTCACTCTAATGGTATATTCTCATAGAGGCAACAGATAAACATATATACACAAAATAGAGAACATGGTTTTTAGATAGTGGCAAATGCTATGAGGGAAATACTCCATACTCATTCTCCTGTACCTTTGCATTTTTCATTTATTTCCTCTTTTATTTAGTCTAATAGTTATTTCAAGTGCTTATGGTGTTTCAGGCAAAGTACTAACTAAACACAAGGTTTACAGTACAGAGCACAGATCTGGCTTGTATGTCATTAGTGTAGTGAAGGGAACAAATTAGTATAAACCATACATTGTGGTGAGGGTTGTAGGGAGGATGCAGGTGTTTGGGAGACACATGGGGACTCTGGATGCTCTCCCTGGGTCTAGGACACTTTCCCCCCACCACTTCCTCTTCACTGAGAACTCACGCTCATCCTTCTGGATATAACCTAGATGGATCCTCTTTGAATAACAGTTTCAGGTGTATACTAAGTGCTTAACACAAGCATTTGTGTTTTTATTTTTGTTTTATAATAGTATTATTTTTAAAATTGTACAGTGCTGTCTCAGATTACCCGAGATCGATGATTATTCTTACAAGTATGTCCAGTCACATTACTACATGACATGGGCATTTTGATTGTGAAGTGAAAATGTTAAGTCACTCAGTCATGTCCAGTGCTTTGTGACCCCATGGACTGTAGCCCACCAGGCTCTTCAGTCCATGGAATTCTCCAGGCAAGATTACTGGAGTGGGCAGCCATTCCCTTTTCCAGATCTTCCCAATCCAGGGATCAAACCTGGGTCTCCTGCATTGCAGGTAGATTCTTTACTGTCTGAACCACCAGGGAAGCCTGGGCTTTGTAATTATATTTTAGTAAAAGCATGCGAGTAAGCAAAACCCCTTTATTTGTGTGTCAGTTATTGTATACAGTGTATAAACAAGGAAAAAGGTGTTGAAGAATATACCCCAGCTGTTAGCAGCAAATGGCCAGTTTTGGCTTTCTGCATTTGTGCTAATAGATATTTGTGGGATGGGTGAATAAGAACTGCCCAATTATGGCTAAATGGCTTGGCTGATAAGATAGTGAGCATCCACTGAGGACTGAACAGATACCATCCTGCTCAAATCATACACCCTTCTGTTTGTGTTTTATTTTAGTTACATTTTGACATCTGGTTAACCTAGATGGTTCCATAAGTGAATTAAAAACCAAGAGAGCATAAATAATCAATTCCTGTACTGTATCCAACTTGCTTAATAGATTCTTATGCCATAATTCCTCTTCTGCAAATTAGGGATAATAGACCTTCTGTAAGGATAACACAATTAGATTGGTTAAAAGGCAGTCATATTCATAAGTACTAGGGAACCAGAAACTTTTCTAGTATGTATAAGTGAAAACTCAAAATTTTCTTTTGTGACATCTGTGCCAACTGAGAAAAATCTGTGCATTATAAAGGGTTATGATCCACTTTAAAGTTGAAAGTATTTGAACGAATGTCACCCTTCTTTCATAACCCTTAGCATTCAGTTTTCTTCTCTTTTGGTTCTGGACATTAAGCGGGGATCAGTTGGAAGAAGAGCGAAATCCCAGGCTATTCTTATTGTAGAAGCTTCTTCATGAGTTTGTATAGTGACCAGGCTATATCCTGGGGCCTCTTATAAACAATACTTGAGTCATAGAGCAACTTAGGAATGAATTGAAATTTAAGAGAAACTTAAGAGGATCATAGCCCAAGCTCAAGGATTACTAATAAGCCAGCACAACTTGGACAAGTAAGGTCTGAGCTCTATCTGAGGTGGCCTCTGGAGGTGAAGGAGAAGGCAAATACTTTCCAAAGTTATACAGATTCTATAGGAGATTTTCTACACAAATCACACTTACACCATTTCCTACTTCTCCCTAATAGTAGAATACAGAGGTAGCCTCAACCCTATGTACTGTGGTGACCTTCTTTCCCTTGTTTTTAATTTTATTTCTCTTGCATTCACTGATACTTAGTTTATGTCCACTGGCCATTTTTTCCAGGCAAGAAATTAATGAAGAGAGAAAGGAAGGTTGGAGGCACCAAAATGCTATATTCTTACTTCCCTTTGACATCTTTCTCAAAAGTGCCACCCTCAATACTCAAGTTGTGTATTCTTCATAATAAGCTTTATCATGAGTCAATTTTTTTATCTGTCAAATGAAGGTAATGATGATATCTTATGGTTATTTTGAGGACTAAATAAGTAAAATGCTTAGAGCATTGTCTTGAACAGACATTGCTCATGAAAATCATAGCTCTAATGATTATTAGCATATGAATACTATTCAGTTATCATTTCATATTCATTTTGTCTTAATGAGGATAGTTGTCTTTTAGTGTTCTGATAGACATGAAGAAATGCAAAGGTAAGAAGTCAGTAATCAGTCAGAAAATCTCACTAGCAGCTTAAATTTTACTCCCTATTTATATGCGTGAGTCAAATAAGAAATTACTCTACTAGATGCATCACTGGAAACCTGAAGTGGTGTGATATTCTTGTCTTGTTACTCATGTGGACAGAACTCTTTAATATATTCTCTTGGAATGGCAAAAGCATCTTTTTCTCTTCTCATCTCCTCCTATTTCTCTCTCATGTCTACTTATTCTTCTTAACTGAGATTATTCAGCTCTTCTAAGCACAGCCTTAGAATACACAGACATAGCTCTGAAGGTCATATGCCAAAATGAAGATAATCCAGCTTTTTAAATTTATTCCCTAAAGTATTGAGACCTAAGATAGTTTGCAAAAGGCTAGAACTTGGCTAGATAGAAACTTTGTATCATATGAACTGTTTAAATATTCATAGTGTGCACTGGCAGCTAACAGGACTACAAACTTTGCCCAGAAAAAAAAAAAAACAAAAAAGAATTACTGATTTTCATAGCATCCAAAAATGGCTGCCATGGACTAAAAGCTTAAGTGCTGATTTTGATTTAATCCCTTAGTTAAATGTATTTTTTTTTATTCAACTGAGGACAATAGGCAAGTGGTTTTATGCATATGTAAGTATTTTTCTGACTATACTATCAGTATCTGATTCTGACATTAATGTCATAAAAACTTGATTGTACTGTCAAAGCCATCTCTTTGATAATTGCTAGTGACTTGAAATAGGGGCTTTCCTGGTGGCTCAGACAGCAGAGAATCCTCCTGCAATATAATAGAGTGGGGTTCAATCCCTGGGTCAGGAAGATTCCTCAGGAGAAGGGAAGGCCACCTATTCCAGTGTTCTTGCTGGAGTATCCCATGAACAGAGGAGCCTGGCGAGCTACAGTCCTTGGGGTCGCAAAGAGTTGGACAAAACTGAGCGACTGAACACACACAGTGACTTGAAATAACTGACACATTTCCTTCACAGTCAGCAGATTCCCTTCTATAGAAATGCATGGAGGAAATTATGAGCAGTTGAGCTATAAAATAAATCAGATTGGGGAAGAACTGGGTTTCTTGACCATGATGTCTCACAACTTGAAAAGATTTCATTCTATGCAACCAGCTGACACTTACATGTTCTTCATTAGCTTATATGAAGATGCCAGAAATGTAGGTGTTTACTGATTGTTTTGGTTTAACTGACACGTTTCTCCCATATAATTAAGGTTTTTTGTTTTGTTGTTGTTCTTAAGCTGGTTGATAAAATTTGTTAAACAAAGTATTTTCACAATTTCAGATAACAGCATAAAAGTAAATGTTGGTACTGCAATGAACTTTAAATTCTTTTTTCCAATAATATCTATTTAGTGAAATCCATTTGATTTTGTTTTTTATAGGTATGCTCACAAGTTTGACTTTTATAAAGTATGCATGCACTCTCAGTAGCTCAGTCCTGTTCAACTCTTTGTAATACTATGGATTGTAGCCCACCAGGCTCCTCTGTCCATGGGACTTCCCAGGCAAGAATACTGGAGTGGGTTGCCATTTCCTCCTCCAGGGATCAAACCCACACCTCCTGCATCTCCTGCATTGGCAAGCGGATTATTTACCACTGAGCCACCTGAGAAGCCCCTTTTATACAGTATGCATCCTCTCAATATGGTATACACAAATGTAAACATTAAAAACGTTCATTAGTTTTCCCTTTCCAATAGTATTTTTATAAAATGTAAATTCAGATAAAATGAGATTAAGTAATCAAAAGTTTATGAAAAGTGACTTGGAATGTCTGTACTCAGTATCTTAAATGATCAATGTTACATAAGAATTGACCATTACTCAATATAAGGTAAGTACAATTAACTAATCACTACTTTTAAACTCTACTTTTAAGAAACTTCTTCAAAAAATTTATAAACTGTAGTTAATTATTTGAATTATATAAATATATCTGTTCCTATAAATATGTGTGTACAAATACATATATAAGGTGTATATCAAGGAAATACATTCATGATTTTTGTTTACTATTTCAGATGTACATTACCAACACAATCAAAGCCAAAGGAACAAGACTTGCTAAGCCCGTTTTATGCCTAGGCTTAATGTGTTTGGCCTTTCTTACTGGACTCAACAGAGTTGCAGAATATCGAAATCATTGGTCCGATGTGATAGCAGGCTTTCTGGTTGGAATATCTATAGCAGTATTTCTTGTAAGTACAGGTTTCTTTAGATATAATTTGTTTCTTAATTAATGTGTATAACCACCTTCTAGACAATACAGGTGTGAATCACTGGGTTTAGTTTTCGAAAGGTGGTCTATGAAATGGAAATATGTATGTTTTAAATCACTCATTTCTTTCTTCCCCTTCATTTGTTCTGCCTAAAGTCAGGCGTGGGGTGAAAAGTACGTATTTTCTACATTTAAAAGTGAAGAGAATATTTTATGCAAAGTGGAATGGGGCTAAAAAAACAATCACACCTCCCTAGATGTTTTTTGATTGGAGGAAAACTGCTTTATAATATTGTGTTGGTTTCTGTAGTACAACAGTGCAAACCAATCATAATTTATACACACACACACACACACACATTTCCCTTCCCTGTTGAGCCTCCCACCCCACCCCCTCATCCCACCCCTCTAGGTCATCACACCGCACCAGGCTGGGCTCCCTATGTTATATAACAGCTTCCTACTAACTGTTTTACACGTGATAGCGTGTATATGTCAATGCTACTTTCTCAATTTGTCCTGTCCTGTCCTTCCCCCACTGTGTCCACAAGTCTGTTCTTTACATCTGCATCTCCATTCCTTCCCTACAAATAGGCTTTTAAGACTGGGTTATTTGAACGTTTAAAAAATTTCCTCAGGGCACTTAGTGTCCTGAAGTATGTAGAGTGTCCCAAAGTGCCCTGGTGCCTCCAAATAGTCCTCTCCTGAGCGGCCAAGTCCCAGAACCTGATAACAGGTGAAACTCACTTGTGAGATGAACCAGTGGCCTTCAGTGACTGAAAACCCATGGAGAGTTTCCAGGGCAATATCACTCAAATCAGATTTTGCCAAGGAGTGAAGAGCACACCTAGGGACTCCTAATGAGGCAAGCCTGCCGACTCTACTTCTGTGATAAAAATCTCCTTGGGCTATTTCTGTAGATTTTAGTTCTGTAAGTTTAGTTGTTTCAATCTGGCTTTCAGTTCAGTTCAGTCCAGTCGCTCAGTCGTGTCCGACTCTTTGTGACCCCGTGAACCGCAGCACGCCAGGCCTCCCTGTCCATCACCAGCTGCCGGAATCTACCCAAACTCATGTCCATTGAGTCGGTGATGCCGTCCAACCATCTCATCCTCTGTTGTCTCCTTCTCCTCCTGCCCTCAATCTTTCCCAGCATCAGGGTCTTTTCAAATGAGTCAGCTCTTCACATCAGGTGCCCAAAGTATTGGAGTTTCAGCTTCAGCATCAGTCCTTCCAATGAACACCCAGGACTGATCTTTAGGATGGACTGGTTGGATCTCCTTGCAGTCCAAGGGACTCTCAAAAGCCTTCTCCAACACCACAGTTCAAAAGCATCAAGTCTTTGGCTTTAGACTTAATTAATCCTTTGTAGGTATGGATACGGAGAAGGCAATGGCACCCCACTCCAGTATTCTTGCCTGGAAAATCCCATGGATGGAGGAGCCTGGTAGGCTGCAGTCCATGGGGTCGCTAAGAGTCGGACACGACTGAGTGACTTCACTTTCCCTTTCCACTTTCATGCGCTGGAGAAGGAAATGGCAACCCACTCCAGTGTTCTTGCCTGGAGAATCCCAGGGACTGAGGAGCCTGGTGGGCTGCCATCTGTGGGGTTGCACAGAGTTGGACACGACTGAAGTGACTTAGCAGCAGCAGCAGGTATGGATGTGTAACATTTTTGTTGTTGTTGTTGTTTAGTCTCTAAGTCATGTCCAACTCTTTTGTGACCCCATGGACTGTAGCCCACCAGGCTCTTCTGTCCATGGGATTTCCCAGGCAAGAATACTGGAGTGGGTTGCCATTTCCTTCTCCAGAGGACCTTCCTGACCCAGGGATCGAACCAATATCTCCTACATTGGCAGGTGAATTCTTTACTGGTGAACCACAGGGAAGCCCGATGTAACATTTTACCTAGATGGAAAAAGGTGTAGACTACTGAATAAATCAAAACATATCTTTGCATTGACACATTGAAAGAAACATTGTTTATATTTTAATTATATTTAAATTATTTATCAGGAGTAACTTTCCTTCCTCAGCTTCTTTTCACTAGTTTCTAACAGTATGTAAAACCTTATACAGATCTTTCCAGCTACCAATGATTTGCGCACTGTTATGTACCGGGCATTTTATGTAGGTTATTTCTTCTAGAACTTCCTGTGGTAAAGCGGTGACTATGCCCTGATCCCTTTCTAGACCATGTGCTATTTTTCTTTCTGATGCCTTGCCTTGCTGTGTCCAAGGTCCCTTGGAAACTTAGGCCTACCTTCCCCACCCCTAGAGATATCCTGTAGCCTCATGCAAACAGAGGCCCAGGCATGGCCCCAAACCTTTCCCTTGCTTTCACTTATGACAGTTGAAACAGGCTAACTTTTTATAAAACAGAACAAAAAATGCTTCCCATAAATCCTAAGAAAATAATCATAGGCACAGCAAACAGCATGGCAAAAGGTGAAGCATTAAAGCACTAGTGTCAGATGTAACTGAATTTCAACTCCATGGGTCTGGAACATCTTTGCCGGTATCTCATCAGGCTTCATCTCCTCCTGTGGCTGTAGCCATCTCCTCTTGACTGCCAGTGAACATCGTGATACCTTGCAAGGTTAGTCTAGAACACTCATGTCTTCCTTTCTCTTCCTCGTCTGAGAACCATGTGGGGAATGATGAATTGGACTAGGGGTCCCCCTTCAGCTCAAGACCCTCTTACTGCACATATTCAGTTCCTTCCATAGGGCCCTTCAAATATTCCCATGCATCCAGGAAAAGGACCTTATAAAAAGGTCATATGGAAGTGCTTTAACCATGTAATGACTAAACAAGCTTTTATGCATAAAAACAGTGTTTCTGATTTTAGTGTGTCAGTGCAAAAGTATGTTTTGCTTTATACCACAGTCTCCTCCTATACCCATAGGAGGAGAAGATGTAGCCTGATGAGGTGCCAGCAAAGATGTTCCAGACCCATGGAACTGAAATGCAGTTACATCTGACAGTAGTGCTTTAACTAGGCCTGCAAGGGGGCTCAGATAAATATGACTTGTCTTCTCTGGGAATCTGTTTCTGGGGTTAGACAGTAATGGCCAGTCTGTTCCCTCAAACATTCCCTCCTTTTCTTCTTTCATGAAACGAACATTAACTGAGACCCTAGTCTAATCCAGGCATTGTGTTTGGTGCTGGGAATAAGTATGAAAAGGATACAGTCCAGGTACTTAAATAGATTTCAGTCAAGTGGGACAAGATAGACACGAGGAGTTCTATAGAGGATGAATGTAATGGTAGATGTGTGGTACATATACTCGAGAGATCTACTCTGTTTGAATTAGGGACAAATCAGAAAGAAGAGACGATATATAAACTTGAAGAGTTTGTAAAGCAGATAGGTCTAGCTTGGGGCATAAGGAATGAAGGGCAAAGAGCACAGTGCACTGGCAATATGAAATGTATCATTAAATAAGCACGTATGAAGCCCCTCCTGTATTCTAGGCCGAGGGCACAGTGTGCATCTGGCACCCAGAAATGATACCAGTCATCCAACTTGGGTGACAAGAAGAGGAATGCAAAAGCACACAGGGGACACCCTGAATGCCTTGTGTGCTGTGACAGTAATTTGGGCTCTTGCTTAAAAATGTAGGTGATTTGGAAGCCTCTGTCAGCTCCCAGACAGTTGAAACAGAGAAAAAGTCTGGTTGAATCTCATCCTCACTATCTACTCAATTTGTGCCCTTAAGCAATTTACCTAACCTCAGTTTCTTCCTCTTTAAATAAGGTTACAGTCTCCTTGAAGGATTGTTACACAGATTGATAATGTGTAAACGAAATGGTGTGTATGTTCAGGGCATGGCCACATGGATGACTGAAATAATTTTATAAATTAGAGATTGTTTCCTTTTAGGTGCTTTTACTCTGTGATAAGATTTGTGCTTTAAAAATATGTTTTCTGGAAAATAAAGCTCCAGGTAAGGATAGAGACAAGTTATGCAGATCCAGGGAAGTGGTGGATGGGCCTCTGGTTGCACAGAGGGAGGGGAGCATGGCTGGAGGTGGGATGGTTTGGAAGTTGATGAAACAGTGGAGATGATGAGGATGAAATGGGCAACAATCTATATGATGATGCTCGAGTTTCTCATTTGGGCAACTAAGTAGAATATTTATTTCAAGCAGTGACTACAGCTCTGGCTTGCACTATCTTGGAGTGTTTTCAATTATTCTGCAGTGTGTGTAGATCACTAAGATGATTCCAAGGTAAAATTAACACTAACCTACTCCAAGCCGTTGTGTCAGTTCAAGGCATTCATGTCCCCTGTCACCCACGCCCAATGTCTAGCATATGCCTTTGACTCACTCTCCTCCTTCATCCCCACACCCGGTGATTCATCTAGTCAAAGCTCGTTTCCACTATAGAATCTTTCTCCCATGTCTTATTTCTTTGCAGTCCTGACCATCACTTCTTGATTGTAGAGATGTAACTGCTTACCTCTTCTATATCTATCGGTTCCTAGCTATCTTCTCACTTTAGACTCTCCTCCAAATGCCTTGCATGCTGCTTCATACACAGGATAATATAATTCATTGCTAATAAAACAAACAGAAAACCAAGCTTCTTTTGTGCTGGATTAAATCAGACACTTCCATTGGGCTTCTGGGATCCTCCAGAATCTGGCTGCACTCTTTCTGGTCAAGTTTATGTTGCCCTTTTTTTTTACAGTGGAAATCCCACACTTGGAATCCAGACAGTGTTCTTCCTCTCACACACTCTGTCCAGCCTGCACATTGCCTCTGCTGGAATGCTCCTGTGTATATTTTAGAGAACAAAACAGGTGTGGGAGTCAGAAAAACCTAGATTGAATCCTGCTATTGCCACCTGTTTTTTTTTTGCCAGTTTTCCTCAATGTGTGATATTGACCGTCCCACGTAGCTCCTCATTATTCCTAAAGTGTGGCCTCCCCTGAACTGTATTTAAAGTGATTACCTCTCCCCCAGACTCCTTTCTTCATTTCCTATTCACTTTTCTCCACTGCACGATTCAACTTTTAGTATACCACATATAATATTTTGGGTTTTGTTTTTTGCTGTCAAACCCTCTAGAATGTAAACCACTTACAGAGATGGTGTTGGTTTTCATCACTATATATTCCCAGGGGTATATAGGAAGTTCTCAGGAGACATTTGATGAATGAATGATGAACTGTTTTGTTTACTTCCCAGACCTCTTTTGAGGGCTAAGTGAAATCACATATGTAGTCAAGTCAGTCAATTTCATGGTACAGAGAAGTCTATGGATACCATACTCTTCACCTTTGATGACTTTATTATAGTAGATTGACTCATATTATTTTATAAAAATGGGTGCCTCAAAATACTTGCAAGAAAGATGGATATTACAGTGTCAGGCAGGATAATTCAAGTTTACTGACCAAAGCAAGAGCTTATCAGGTTATCATGGATATTCCTAATAGTAATAAAGAGTTATTTGAGTATTCTTTACTGCATTAACTCAATTAATCCTCATGCACAGTGAGACATAACTATTATTGTCCTAGTTTTGCAGGTAAAGCAAACAGATCTAGTTATATTAAATAACTTGCCTAGGCTCACAGAATTAGTAAATAAAAGAGCCCAGGATTAAGCCCCAGGCCTGTTTGACCCCAAAGCCCATGCACATAACTCCATACAGAGAGATGTTTTATTTGCCACAAGGAAGAGGCAAACTGATCACAAATGGATCAGATTAATTTATTATCACTACTGGAAAAAAAAACAATCTATATGTAATGGTGACTTATTACTAGTGTTAATTTTTGGAAGAGAGGGTAGAATTACACTCATGGAAACCACTAATGTAAAAATAGAATGTTTCTGAAGAAAGTCACTTTCAATTATATAGGAACATCAGAAAATTTGAGAATTTTTATCCTGGATTCATGCTCATTTATTAATCTGTTCATTCACCTGGCACTGAGAATAGAATAGTGATCAGAAAAAGAAGCTTGTCTGCTTCCATGGAGCTGGTAACCTTGGAAGAAAATCACATCAACCAAAATGCTATGCTTGCAAATATATAATTTCATATAGAGATAGGTATTTCAGTGAAAAGAATCACAGGTCCTTGCCAGCAAATAAAAACAGCCTGGGGTCAAGGAAGACTAGTAAGGCAGTGATACAGAGATGAGATATCACAAATGAATGAGATATGATGCCCAAAGACAGTGGAGATGAGTATTCCCAACAAAAGGAAGTGAAAGGAAACCGAAGGCGTTTGGGAAATAGAGAAAGAAGGCTGAAAGGTGGACCTGAGTTTACATTTTGAGAGGAGTGAGAAGCCAAGCCCAAAAGTAGTTTTAAGGAGGTCAACATGATAAAATTTGCATTTTGGAAAGACCATTCTCACTTCTTTGTAGAGAGGGATTGGAGGGAGTCAAGATTGGATTTAGTTTTGAGAAAGCCACGCAGGAATTCAGGCATGTAATGATGATTGCTTAGTCTTTGGAGTTGGTGTTAGAGATAGAATAAGGCAGATATAAGAAATCAAAATCTTTAGGAAGAAGAATTGAACAAATTGAGTGACTGGTTGAGTACAGGAGGTGTTCAAGTTTCAGCCACATGCAACTGCATTTGAGGATGAGAGGGAATTACCTTTCCCTGAGAGGATCCAGAAAAAGATCAAGGTTTGGAGTAGGGTCACGAGATGGATGCATCTTGGCTTTTATTTTGAACGTTTGTGGAATTTTTCATACCTTTGCCAACCAAAGAAATGGAGCTGACTTTGCTAATTTGTCACAACCTCTTCACTTTCAAATTGAGAAAACTGAGACCCAAAGGACTGTCCAAGAACAGAACGTGCAGACTCAGGATCAAAAACCAGGTCCATTGCTATTTCCTATGATCATTTCTCTAATAGGAAGTCAATTTCATATTTGCGAATGTTACCAGACAAGACTTACTAAATATTTGAATATGATTCTAAGGAAGATTTGATAATTTCCTTCCTTATAATTTAAATAATAGCAGTAATGAAGAGTAATCATTATGCTAATAGATGCTTTAATGAATATCTGCTATGTGTTAGCATTTAAATATTTCACATGTGAATTCTTAGCTGCTTCAGTAGTGTTGTCCTGACCCTCAATTAAGGCAAAGAGGTAACTGATAATATCTTTCAGAGTTTTCCTAACTGAAATTAGTATAAAAAGCAATTATACTAATTTCAGTAGCCACTATTAAATCTGTTCTTCATCTAATGACTTCCATTTGTCTGTGTATATAGTTATTTCAGCAAATTTTAATTCAGAAGAATGTGTAGCAGTTTTTTTTCACCTGCTGATTTTCCATTAATTTATATAATATTAATGGTGCTTCCCAGGTGGCCATAGTGGTAAAGAAAGAACCCGCTTGCTAATTTAGGAGACATAAGAGATGAGGGTTTGATCCCTGGATTGGAAAGATCCCCTGGAGGAGGGCATGGCAGCCCACTCAAGTATTCTTGCCTGGAGAATCCCATGGACAGATGAGCCTAGTAGGCTACAGTCCATAGGGTCACAAAGAGTTGGACATAGCTGAAATGACTTAGCACGCATAATATTAATGAAAAGAAAATGTGTGTGTATATATATATTTCATGAAATGGGTATGAAACTGCTGTTTGTTGTATTGTTGTTGGCTCAAATTCTTGATTATATCCTTTGCTGCTTCCACACCAAAATGGCAGAGCTGAATACTTGCTGCAGAGATTGTACACCCACAAAGCCAAAAATATGTACTATCTGCTCATTACAGACAAAATTTGCTGACCTCTACTTTAGGTCAGTTACTATCTATTAGTCCTTTGCAGGCTCATCATTTGATAGAATGTTTATCAGGTACCCATTTCCAAACCTTTGCCATGACTTTGCTCTAAAGATCTTGATGGTAGTGATGAAATTGAGTATTAAGTTATTAGACTTTGATCTGCACTTCTGATCTGTAATTATTCAAGGAATTGGAAGGATAAAACGTATATATCAGTTTTCAAGGAAGTTTTTTCTGAGATAAATCTTAATAGTGTGTGTTATTTTGTAGATTTTAAAATTGAATTTAAAAACTGGAGAAAAATTAAGATCTAATTGACCTTTGAAAATATTCAGTAATGAGCCCCACACTTTCCAGTGTGATTTATGGAAAGTATACGATGTAAATTTGTGATTGTATATTAAGCATTTATTTTTTAAATGAATGTTAAGTTATAAACTAGCTACAAGTAAATTCTGTATTTCAGTTTGATAATAGAATATAAAACCCAGAAAAAGAAAGCTCAAGAGTATCTTACCTACTAGTTCAATATAAGCAATATAAGCAACTAATTTTCCTGTATTATTTAAATCACTAATTCTTAAAATTTGATCCACCTACATCAGAAACTTCAGAAATGCCTTTTAAAAGTGGCAACTCCTAAACCTTATCCTTCATCTTTGAAATCAGAATTTTTAGGAGAGGACTTAGGAATTTTTTTTTTTTTTTTAAGTTCCAGAACTTTATTTTCATGCACAGTAGAATATGAGAACTTCTGCTTTAGTATGGGATATAATCAACTGAAACAAGGGTCAGTTTCCTTTATGTAAAAGGTCTTCTATTTCAATGGTAGCCATAGTAAGCTGTTGTTGAAATGCCAAATATATATGGGATGCAATAATAGACAATAAACTAGGGTTAATGATGCTACTAAATTAGAAAGTGCCAATCGTAGAAGGTTTATTATGAATGTAATGATCTTGAAGCAATGGGATATAATTAGCATTTAAATTAAGTTGTAGGTTAGCCACATTAAGGAAAGGTTAGCTTGCTATGAATTTTTATAAGGTTATGGTGTTATTTTTGGATCAGTTTGAGCACTGACTATAACCTAATTTAATGAAAATTTTGGAACAATAGCATTGTCATTATTAACTGAGCTACATATTAATTGATGAATGCTCTTGAATACACTTGCACTGGATTACAAGATAAATTTGAATGTAAACTTATAGACCTGTAATATTTAAGTTATGCCGATACTTTATTACTGTGATTAGATTTATCAGGCTGCTCACAAAGATCATGTTTATAGGGAGCATGGCTCTGTTTTAATTGTATTTTTTCCTGAAATTGTAGGTTGTATGTGTGGTAAATAATTTCAAAGGAAGACAACCAGAAAATGAGCATATACACACGGATAACCGGGCACAGATGCCAATGATAAGCATTCCTCGAGTAGAAAGTCCTTTGGAAAAGGTAACATCCGTACAGGTGATTCATAATTTAAATTCTAAAGTGCGATTGTTATCTAGAGCAAATGAATAATTATTCTTGAGAGTTCTTTCACATTTCTGATTTACTAAAATAAGCTCAGAGTCTAATGTGGTATTTAGCAAGAACTTAATCACTCAAGAGAACATCTTTGAAAAATGCGTATCACATAGAAACATTTCTTTGAACTTCTCAGGCTTCAAAGTTGAGTAACATAGACTGTGCTGCAATTTGCCATAGCTTTGAGATAAGGAATATTATACAGTGGTCCCATGCATGGGCAAAATATGTTTTACTTGAGAATGTATATATTTTTCATAATACATATTCCATTTCTTCCATGCTTCATGTATATGAAAATCTGTGTAGTGTAACAACTGGCACATACTCAGGACTCAATAAATACTGCTAAACCTCAGTTTCTGGCCTCAGTGAAACACCAGCATGCTTTCCTGATCAGGGGGGCCCTGAAGATCAGGCTGGGCTTAAGGGAGCCTGATGAGGTAGCTCTTTGAGTGGCAGGTCAGGACCTCATGGGACATAGCAATGAACAGAAAAGCCAGGTTTTAATAACTTTTCTTGAGACTTCTGTGAGCTAGACAGGTTAATATTTCTTAAGCGATGATGGATTCACACATGTATGTAACTGGTTAGATGACTGCTTATTTAGTAACAGAGAGTTACTAATGTCTTCTCCTCAGCCCTGTGCACACCCAGATTTTGATCAATATCTTAAATGAAGTTATTAATAGGTGCTAATTGGAGGTTTAGATGGTATGAATCTGTGGAAGGGTCACGTAGGATGCACACTCAGTCATGTCTGACTCTTTGGGACCCCATGAACTACAGTCCATGGGATTACCCTGGCAAGAATACTGTGGTGGGTTGCCATTTCCTCTCCAGAGGATCTTCCTGACCCAGGGATCGAACCCACATCTCCTGCGGCTCCTACACTGAGAGGTGGAGCCTTTACCACTGAGCCATTCGCCTTGGAAGCCCCAGGTGAATCTGTGGGGGATAATTGATACATTGGATGAAATATTAAAAATTCTTAGAAGATTGCAGTAAATGTACCACTAACAAGTAACTAGAAATAAAGGAAATATTTCATATTTGGACTTTTTTTTTTAAGTTCCTGTAGGGTAGGGTATGTCTAGGTTAACTGCACAAATGCAAAAGGCTCAGAGGGTATAGGAGTCTACCATTCAGCATGGGTCAACAGCATGATATGACTGCTAGAAGTTTATATGGTTTTAAGTCCCACTTAGGGAAAATGATATCCTGAATGAGGGATTGATGGTTTGCTTTGCTCAGGTCAACTTGGTATACTGTGTACTACCCTTGGTGACATGGTTTTAAGATGAACATTGATAAAACATAAGAGTTGACAGTAAATTTTTTTAAGTTAGCAAATAGATATGCCTAAGATGGTGAGTAGAGTCAAAGTCATGAATTATAAGAAAATGGAGGGAACAAAAATATTAGTTTAAAAAAATAATACGTTTATAGGAAAAGGAAACTCAAGAAAGAAGCAATAGCTTCCCATAAATATCTGAAGGCCTGTTGTGTGACAGAGGGATGCAATTTGTTTTATGGAATCTCAGAAATACAATTAGGATGAAAGAAAAGGAAGTGTAGGAAGATAAATAATGTCTGGAAATTAGTTAATAATTTTCCCACCTTAAAAGCAATGAAATTTCTTTTTACTATAAGGATTCAAAAATAGCTAAGCAAGCTCTTATCCATGATACTGTGGAAGGATTTTAAGCATTTAAATGAGGATAGAGACACTACATGATGATGATGGTGATGGTGACGATAAAAATAACAATGACCATTTAGTGATCATGCAAGATGTGTCGAATACCATACTAATTGCTTCCACAAAAGCACTTCTGTGCTCTACAAAGTATAATTTTGTTCTTTGCAACAATTTTTAAAGCTGAGTATCCCTGGTGGCTCAATGGTAAAAAATCTGCCTTCAAGGCAAGGAGATCCAGGTTCGATCCCTGGGTTGGGAAAATACCCTGGAGAAGGGAATGGCCACCCACTCTAGTATTCTTTCCTGGAGAATTCCATGGAAAGAAGAATTCTTTCTAGCAGGCAACAGTCCATGGGGTTGCAAAGAGGTAGACCGGACATGACTGAGCAACTAACACTTTCAGTTTCATCATTATAGTGGCAAAGACTGCTGATAGATGACCAGTATTCCTTCTTCTCTTCTTCCTTTCAGTAACTGAGTTTCTCACTCCAATTTTAACTACTCTCATGGTTGTCCAGCTGTAGTCTTTATTCCCCAGCTTCCCCTGCAGTTAGGTGTGACCTAGCAACCAAGTTTAGACCCATGCAACATAAGCAGAAGGGTAGGTGCAATAACCTCTAGGTTATCTCTTTGAAAACCCTTGTCCTGAACATTCTGTACTCCTTATCACCAAATAGAAAAGATAAGTGACTGGAATAATCTTTTATTTTTGAAGATGACCAATCCTCCTGGACAACCTGGGTTCTGGATGAGCTCATGGAACAGTCCACATACACACCCTAGATGGTTCTGAAAAAGAAATAAACTCCTTTTCTAAGTCACTGATTATTTTAATCTCTTTGCTACCGTGGTTTAGCTGACGCCCTCTTAGAATAAGTGTCCTCATTATACAGTTAAGAAAAGCTCCCAAGTAGTTATGTGTGTGCTGTTTAGTCATGTCCGAGTCTTTGCAACCCGATGGAATGTAGCCCACCAGGCTCCTCAGTCCATGGAATTTTCCAGGAAGAAAACTGTAATGGGTTGTCACTTCCTTCTCCAGGAGATCTTTTTGCATGTGGATTTTACCATTGCACCACCTGGGAAACTCAAGTAGTTAAACAGATTGCAAATGTCCATGTCATTGGTAAACAGCAAAGAAAAGTTATACAGTATAGTGATTCAAGATATATACCTATGTAATAAAATATATACGTGCATGCATGCTAAGTTGCTTCCGTTGTGTCCAACTCTTTGCGACCCCATGGACTGTAGCCTGCTGGGCTCCTCTGTCCGTGAGATTCTCCAAGCAAGAATACTGGAGTGGGTTGCCATGCCCTGCTCCAGGGGATCTTCCCTATCCAGGGATCGAATCCTCTTTTCTTATGTCTCCTAAATTGGCAGGCGGGTTCTTTACCAGTAGCGCCACCTGGGAAGCCCCAATAAAATATATATCTAAGTGAAAATTCTTAAAGAGATGAGAATACCAGACCACCTTACCTGCCTCCTGAGAAATCTGTATGCAGGTCAAGAAGTAACAGTTCGAACAGGACATGGAACAACGGACTGGTTCCAAACTGGGAAAGGAGTCCATCAAGGCTGTATATTGTCACCTTGCTTATTTAACTTATATGCAGAGTACATCATGTGAAATGCTGGATTGGATGAAGCACAAATTGGATTCAAGATTGCCAGGAGAAATATTAATAACCTCAGATATGCAGATGACACCACCTTTACGACAGAAAGTGAAGAGGAACTAAAAAGCCTCATGATAAAAGTGAAAGAAGAGAGTGAAATACTGGCTTAAAACTCAATATTCAAAAACTAAGGCCATGGCATCCGGTCCCATCACTTCATGGTAAATAGGGAAACAATACACACAGTGTATTGTCACACAGTGACAGACTTTATTTTCTTGGGCTCCAAAATCACTGCAGATGGTGCCTGCAGCCATGAAATTAAAAGATGCTTACTCCTTGGAAGAAAGCTATGACAACCCTAGACAGCATATTAGAAAGCAGAGACATTACTTTACTGACAGAACTCCATAAGGTCAAAGCTATGGTTTTTCCGGTCGTCAAGTATGGATGTGAAAGTTGGACTATAAAGAAAGCTTAGCGCCAAAGAATTGATGCGCCAAAGAATTGATGCGCCAAAGAATTGATGTTGGAGAAGACTCATGAGAGTCCCTTGGACTGCAAGGAGATCCAAACAGTCCATCCTAAAGGAAAGCAGTCCTGAATTTTCATTGGAAGGACTGATGCTAAAGCTGCAACTCCAATACTTGGGCCACCTGATGCAAAGAACTGACTCTTTGGAAAAGACCCTGATGCTGGGAAAGATTGAAGGCAGGAGGAGAAGGGGATAACAGAGGGTGAGATAGTTGGATAGCATCACTGACTTGATGGACTTGAGTTTGGGCAAGCTCTGGGAGTTGGTGATGGACAGGGAAGCCTAATGTGCTGCAGTCCACAGGGTCGCAAGGAGTCGGACATGACTGAGCCACTAAACTGAACTGAAGTGAATAATACATATGAAATTAGATCTTGTTGAACTTTAAATACAAAAAGCAGTAGCAATTAGGTAGAGATCTTAAACATACTTTGAAGAAAATTGTCAGGGTAAATATTAGAGTATTTTATGCACCTCTCAATATATTAACTTGAACAGTAATCCGAGTCTTCTGCTTTTTAACATTTATTTGCATAATGTTTCTTTAGAGGTCTGCTAGACTTGCCAAATATCTTGTATAACATTACATCATTATGTGTATTAAATGATTAAAATATTTCTGTTCTTGATTTTATGCAAATTCATTTTTATTTACAGTGACTTTTAAGATACTAGATGATGAAAGCAAAAATATTCTATTAGAATCTATTGATTGCAAGAGATCAGTGTTTATTCTTTAACATTTTTGTTTATGATACATTCGTGTGCTTTATCTTCAATCTGATAGTTAGGCAATAAAGATGATTGGAATCTAATTTGATTTTCCCTCTGCACACCTAGTGCATTGGCACTCGCCCCACTGAGCTCCGCCTTGCCTCTCCACTCTCTCCATCCCTGTTTCCAGGCAGAACCCTGTCTGCACTCACACAGGAAAATCACGAGTTTTGGGCTTCCCCTTGGAGCTCTGCTGCTGAGAGGATATGTATTTCTGCTCATCAGCCAGAAAGGGAGGAAGGCCATCACTTCAGAGAAGCCCAGAGTAGCTTTCTCTTCCTTCTTTAATAAGGAATGTTTGGAGTAAATGCAT